TCTTTAACTCCTTGGCAGGCAGGGACCTCATCTAAGCCTCCACTTCTTTCCCTTCCAGGCCCTGCATGGGGTTGCACACAGGTGGCCCGATACTACCCCAGAGACCACCCCGTGTCTTGGTCCTTTCGGTCTGCATCTCTGTATCTGAGGGTGATTCCCCCACAACTGAGGTAGCGTCTAGGCCCACAGGTGTGCAGGCTGGAAAGGCCAGGAAAGGAGCACCCCAGGCCCAGCCCTCAGCTACCGGAAGGCGGGCAGGCTAATCCTGACAGTGTTTCCCTGTGAGATGAAGCCCCAGTTGTCCTGCATGGAAGTTGGTTTAATAGTGTCTGGGGACTGGTGTGGCCATTATGGAAAATAGTATGGAGTTTCCACAAAAAATTAAATACGGAACTGCCATTTGACCCAGTGAACCCACTTCTAGGAATAGATCCTAAAAACCCCAAAATACCAACCAGGAAGAATGTATGCACCCCTATGTCCATAGCAGCACAATTTACAATAGCTAAGATCTGGAAACAGCCCAAGTGCCCATCCGTAGATGAGTGAATAAAAAAGCTGTGGTACATTTACACCATGGAATACTATGCAGCAGGAAAAAAGAATCTCTTACCCTTTGAGACAGCGTGGAGGGAGAGTATCATGCTAAGTGAGATAAGTCAGTCAGAGAAAGACAAGTATCACATGATCTCACTCATATGTGGATCCAGAGATGTGGAAGCATGGAACAGAGTGTGAAAACTTGGAGGGAAGGCGGGGAGTGTGGGTGGGTAGGAAGTAATCAACCATGGACCTCCTGGCCCATGGACATAGAAAATGGGGTGGCAAGAGCCTGGGGCGGGGGGTGGGGAGGGGCAGGCTGGAGGGGGTCAATGGGGGAATGAAGGGGACATTATGTAATGCTTTCAACAATAACTAATTTTACAAAAATAGTGTCCCTGGATTGGCTGTCTTGTGTGTGTGTGTGTGTGTGTGTGTGAGAGAGAATCCTCACCGGAGGATATTTTTGCCATTGATTTTTAGAGAGGGTGGAAGGGAGGGGAGAGGGGGAAACAGGTAGAGGGGGCAGAGCAAAACATCGATGTGAGAGAGAAACATCGATGGGTTGCCTCCTGCACACACCCTGACCAGGGTTTCGGGAATTGGACCTACAACCCAGTTGTGTGCCCTTGACCTGGAATCAAACCCTCAAACCCTCCGACACACGGGCCAATGCTCTAACCACTGAGCTACGCCGGCCAGGGCTTGGCTGCCTTTTCTTCCCTGTTTCTGTTGATCTTTCCTTCACCTCCCAAATAATCTATTTGCACCCGAGTCCTCGTCTCAGGGTCCGCTTCTGGGGGAACCCAAACCAAGAGAACCCAAATATCGCTCGATATTTGTGGAAGGGAAGCATGGCAACCTGGGACAGGTAGCATAGCAGAGCCTTTGCAAAGCTTTGCTTAAAACGCCATTTGGGGGGATTCGGGGAGGATCGTGCTTATAAGAGAAGCAATATTCACTTTGCGGCTTCTCAGCATAACCTCCCAGGAATGGCGTCTGGGGCTCACTTGTCCTGAAGACCACATCAGGGCAGGGAGCGTGTTTAAGGAATAGGAAAGGTCTCCAGGATATTTGCAGCATTTTCCTGGAGCCCACAGAAGGGTGCTGTGTCTGGAGCTTTACCCACGAAATTCGTTTAAGAGTTAGAATTGCTAGAATCTATACATGTTCCCTTTTTTTGGGGGGGGGGGCGGGGGGAGGCGGCAAGTTATCTAACTGTGATAAGAAATTAAAGGACAAAGAGATGCCAGCTTATCTGAGCAAAAGGAAAGGCAGAAAAAGACCTCGTTCGCTAAACTGCGTGTGTGAAGGAGGGCTGTCCCGGGCCCCTGAGGGCACCGCGGTGGCAGGAGAGTGACCTCATCAACAACGCACCAGAGGCCTGCTTCCTGCAGAGGTAGGTCTGATTTCCTTTTATTCTTCTCCTTTTTCTAACACATAAACTTGCGGTAAGGATAAAGGATAAGCTTGTCAGTCTCACGGGTGGGTTTTCACTCGGACAGAGTGGCGACCAGATCAGTGTGGGAGCCCCAGGGCCAGGCTTCCCTCCAGGTAGTCGTCAGGGCCGGCGACTTTCAACGCGAGCTGCCTGCTGTTGGTGCTGTCCTGGGAGGGACAGGCTGGGTTCTCCGGCTTCTCCTCGGCACAGGGGTCAGAGTGGATGCCCTTGAGGGCCAGGATCCGGTACCGCTTCCTCCGGTTGAGCTTGTATATGCGAATCCGCTCCTTTTCTGCCTCTGGGTCGGCGAGAATTCCATCCCAACGCAGACTCTCGTTGATCTTGTTGGAGAGTTTCTCTTCTAATTTGCCAAAGTTGGGGAGATTGACGGAGGAGGAGAAAGAAGGGGCGAGCTGGTTTGGCTCTTTGTCCTGCCTGTGCTCTGGTCTCGGGCCATGATCTTTGCCGGGACTCAGGACATCGTGGAAAGATGAAGACAGCTGCTGATGCTTTAGGCTTCGGCTGTGATGTTTATCTGCTGAGCAGATGAGCAGTGTTAGCGTTTGCGGTGATGCCTGCCCTCGTCCTGCTCGGGAAGGATGCCAAACTCACCAAAGATATAAGGGGGTGGGGAGTGCAGGCCCCTCCTTACCTAGGGCTCAGTGGCCACTCCCACCAGCCTGGGACACACTCCACTGCCATATGCTTTAGTTGAGCACCTACTATGAGCCAGTCCTCTGGATACAGGGCTATCAGCCCAATTTTCCAGGTGAGGAAACAGACTCCGAAAGTCTCAGTAACTTGCCAATGTTATATAGCAGGTGGGAGGGCCAGGATGTGTGTGTGTGTGTGTGTGTGTGTGTGTGTGTGTGTGTGTGTGTGTTTAGCGCCAGGATTTTGAATGCAGGCCTGATTCCCAGGGCCCTGTTCTCTCCTCTGTGCCACGCTGCCCCTCACTTCACCTCTCCACATGCTCACCCAGATTCATTCAGTTCTAGGCGCCCATGACTCTGCCCCCCCCGTCTAGACTTCTTTATGATGGAGAAATGGAGAACAGAAAAACTTCCTGCATCTGACTGTGGAAAGTAATATTATGCCAAGCCAGGAAATACTTCTGCTGTGTGGCTTGTACTGATTTTTTTTTACATTAATAAGCATTCCTGAGTTATATAACACACACACAAGCGGTGGTTCTTTCATTAGCTTGTCCTTCTTTTTGGTGGGGAGGGAAATCTCCCCCACCCACCCCAAAAAAGAGAAAAAAATGCTCTTTTGACATTTCTATACCTTTCTACTCCCCCAAAACTATTTGGTGTCCCCTGCTGACAGTAGGAAGTACATGTCACTCTAATTTCTAGAGTCAGAAGCTAAGCCAAAAAAGACAATGAATTTCCTAATTTTGGTTTTGCAGACACAAAACCAAAGGAGGGCTTTTTGACCTAACCTCCAGAATTGATTGTGTGCCTTTTTATTATGATGCCACCTGATGAAGTAATTGTGATCGTCCTATTGCTTCCTTCCCCAAACTTCCAGGTTGACATGGGGCCGGCTGCCACTCCTTCTGCCTCCAGCTCGCCCGGGGTGCCAGCTCTGCACACAAAGGCCCAGGGCCAGAAACTGGACCCAGGACTAGCCACACTAGAGGTCAGGGCTGCTGTGCCAGGGTCAGTGAGAGCCCTGCCCCGCCCCCACCCCCCGCCCCCAGACAGCCAAAGCCTGGAGGGAGACCACACAGGTGACAGTGGAGACAGCGTTTTACATCAGTTATTCTCTCTCCATAAAATAGGTGCTCAGTGCCTTTGTCAAGAAATCAGGGGGTCCTATGAGAAGAGTTCAGGAAGATGTAGGGGTTCCGTGGGTGTGTGGCAGCGGTTGGTGTGTGGATCTGAGAGAGACTGGAGTGAGGCCTGCATACATACAGTTGTATGTGTACAGGAACTGCTTGGGAGGGGGTCTCTGCATGTGAGTGTGAAACAGTATCTGTATGTGTGTGTAGGCTGTGGCTGTGTGTGCCTGATGGGGTATCTGTGCTTTAGTTTTATTTGGTGCTTATAGTGACATAAAGGGGTGTTGCTGAGGATGTTTGGGATTATAAAATTACGTAGCAGTGACGGATGTGATGGTGTGTGTGCAGTTGAAGGCTGGCCTTGGTGGACGGGTGGTGGGGACGACCGTCTATGCAGGGAGGATACTACTTCATATGCATTAACTGGGTGTCTGCATAACATCCAGAGGCCACCTACCCCTGAGGAAGGAGGAGGCAGGGAGGGTCTCTAGACAGAAGGCAGAAGTCTGTGTTTCTGTGTGTGCGGAGTGTCTGCCTCTAGTGCTTAGTGGCTTTGGCTTGGGGGAAGTCTGTGAAGATGAGGCGATCTCTGCAGGAGGGCTGAGATTTCTGTGGGGAAGGTAGGGAGGTTTAGGATTGCAATTCAGCTGAGGGGTTAGGAAGCTGAGAGGGTATCTGTAAAGGGTGAGGTGCTGTGTGGGGCTGGGAGACTGGGAATAATGCTGGGTATGGGGGGTGTCTTTGTTTGGGGTAGAGTGGTCTCCATGGATGTGGAGAATTCTCGATGCAGGATTTGAGATCTCTGTGCTCTTTGGGGCAGGTTTCTGTGTACATGGATGGTCTTTATGAGCAGGGGAGGGACATCGCGGTGCAGCGTAAGTGGGGAAGCGGGAGGACCTCTATCTGGGACGGGCGAGTGTCTGTTTCTGGTCTGAAACTGGTCCCCAGGTAGATGGGGGTCTCTGTGAGAGACGCGGGTGGGTGACCTGGGGGGGGGGGGTAGTTAGGGGGAGAAATCTCCAGGTACAGAAGCTGAGGCTTCCGAGCTGGCTGTTCCTCTTACCGTCTCCCTTGCCTGACCTCTCAGTCTTTCTCTTCTTCTTTTTCTTCTTCCCCTTCCGTTTGGGCTCTGGGGCGCGGCTGGAGATGGGAGGCAGTCTGGACTCCTTTGTGGCCCCAGGGCCGCCCTCTAGCTCCTCTTCCTCATCCTCATCACCCTCGCCATACCTCGCCGCCCTGGCCCCACGGAGGCCGTCCATCCGCCCCTGCGGGGCCGCCAACTGCGCGTGGGTCAGCCCAAGACCCGCTGCAGCCCAGCCGGCGGCTCCAGGCGCTGAGTGCTTGACCAGACCCACGCGTCTCCATGGCGACCGCCACACAGCGCGCGCGCGTGCGCATTCAGGAAGCTTCAGCCTGGGCGCCGCCCGCGGACTAGGTGTGCGCACGCGCGTTTCAGTCTGAGCCCTTGGCACAATGGGGAAGAGTGAGAGATTGTCAGTACTCGTATTCTCCAGCACCGTTTCCAATGCTGTTTGTTCTCGCCTCAGTGTATGTCCTCCAAGCTCCAGGCTCGTACATCTTCCCTGGCTTTCCAAGCCCAAGATGTGCAAAATAAACTTACTTCATTGCTCTCCGGGAAGAGAACAGCTGGACCGGCAGACACCTGGCGGTCCTCCCCCCACCCGCTCACCTAGGTTGGGGCTGACCGCAGTGTCTGGCGCTTGGACGTCTAACGTCCGGACACCCCTCCTAAATGATCTCTACGTCCAAACTCTCCCCAAGAATTCCTTATCTACTCAGCTGCTAGAATTAATTTTTGAAGACGGATCGTTTAAAACCCTCCAATGGGGCCCCCTCACAATTCATACCAAGATCGAACGTCAGTGTGGCTCACAAAGCCTGGCGTTTCTCTCCAGGTTTATTCACCACAGATTATATATAGATCCCCCAAAATGGCAGGAATAACATCTCTCATCCCACACGCTCTTCTAGAATTCTGCCATTTCCACATCAGGAGCCAGTCAACTCCACTCCCTTTCTGAGTGGGCTGGTTGGCTCACTCCCAACAGTGTGTGGTGGGAGGGACACTGTGACTCCTTAGGCTAGGTCATAAAAGGTAATGCAGCATCCACTTCATTATTGGAAGACTTGCTCCCGGCCTCCTCAGCCTCCTGGGCCTCCTGGGAAGGAGTCTGAGCACCCTGAGGCCGCTAGACGGGGAGGGAGCCCAAAGAGACCACAGGGAGAGACCCTAGGACGTGAAGGGAGGTGCCCCCAGCGGCTGCAGGCCCCAGGCCAGCCCTACCCCAGCCCTTCCTGAATTCCTAACTCAAAGGGATTGTGAGGGATAATGAAATGGCTGTTGTTATTGAAGTTACTACATTTTCGTGTGATGAAGTTGGGCAGCACTGGAGAACCAGAGCACCAGTCTTTGATTTCTGCCATCCTAGTGTGTGCGACGTTGTATTTCCCTGTGGTTTTAAGTGCCGTTTCCCTGCTGACGAATGAGGCTGAGCATTTTTTTAAAACTGCTTATTGGCCATTTGAATGTCTTGCTTTATAAAGTGTCTGTGGAGGTCTTTTCCCATGTTGTAATTGGAATGTTTATATTTTTTATTGTTGATTTGTAAGAGTTCTTTATATGTCTTGGATATAAAATCCTTTCTCGGCTGCAAAGATCTTTTTCCAGGTCTGCAGATTTTGGATTCATTTTCTTAATGGTGTCTTTGGATAAATTCTGATGAAGACACTTTTTTTCAGTTTTTTCTTTTTGTATCTTGCCCAAGGAAATCTGTCTTACTCCTACATCACAAAGATGGTCTTCCGTTTTCTTAGGTTCGGTCCATGATCCACCTCAAATTCATTTTGTGAATAAAGTCCGATAGGGGGTCAAGATTTATTGCCCCCCCCCGCCAGTGGATTTCTAGTTGTTCCAGCAACTTTCATTAGAAAAACACCCCTTTCCCTATTCACTTACTCATCACTTTTGTAGAAAATCAATTGATTGTATACATGTGAATCTATCTCTGGACTTGATTCTGTTTCCTCGATCTATCTGTCTCTCCTTACACCAGTACTGATAGGGGAAGGGCATGTAATAGAAGCAGAATTATAGCTTAATAGCGATTCACTACACTAACAATAGAAACGGGCTTTTTCTTATAGACTCTGGTAAACTGGAGGATGTTTTGCAAGAAGAAAAACAGGGCCATAAAGATAAGACGGCCTCCAAGCCCAGATGGGTCCGTTACTCAGAAAAGAAGATACACTTTAAGTGCGAGTCAAGGACAGGACTAACTGAAGGGAGAGACCGTGTTCTGGGCTAATCTCTGCAAGGATGATGATGGAAAGCAGACCGTGGGAATTCACTAGTGTTAGTCCCCCCACCCCCACCCCTCACCCCCTACCCTACATAAGGGCTGGCTTGAAATGAAGTGTCAGAGTGGTCTTTTCAGGGTATTGCACCTGTCGCTCTCTCAGACCGCCGGCCACCTGAATAATAAACAGCACCACGAAGATTCAACCCCATCTCTACTTAATGGACTCTAGTAGCCACCAGCAGCAGGACTCTGTTCTGGTTTCAATACCACAACGTCCTAGTTATTGTAGCTTTATAGTAAGTCTTTTTAAAAAATCCTCACCCAAGGATACTAGTATGTCTTCCGAGAGAAAGAGAGAGAGAGAGAGAGAGAGAGAGAGAGAGAGAAACATCGATTGGTACACACCCCAACCGGGGATTGACCTCACAACCTGGGTATGTGCCCTGATTGGTAATCAAACCCGAAACCTGCATGGGACTCGACGCTCCAACCAACTGAGCCACACAGGCAAGGGCTATGAGAAGTCTTGATATAGCTGTAGCCGGTTTGGCTCAATGGATAGAGTGTCGGCCTTCGGACTGAAGGGTCCCAGGTTCGATTCTGGTCAAGGGCACATGTCGGGTTATGGGCTCGATCCCTAGTGGGGGGGCATGCAGGAGGCAGCCAGTCAATGATTCTCTTTCATCATTGATGTTTCTCTCTCTCTCTCTCCCTCTCCCTTCCTCTCTGAAATCAATAAAAATATATTTTTTTAAAAAGAAGTCTTGATATAAGGTAGTGTAAGTTCTTCAACTTTGTCCAGTGTTTTGATGATTTTAGAACACTGGCTTTTCCATATACATTTTCAAAAAATCTTGTCTATTTCTTCAAAATAGTCCGCTGGGATTTTGATGGGGGTTTCGTCAAATCTATAAAGTTTGGCACTCTGATACTCAATAATGGCAGTCATTAGAACGGACCCATACACAGGCTTGTGTGGACACATTGCTTTGTAAAGGATTCCTCTGGTCTGTGTGTCCTGAGTCCTCTCATCCACTAACCGTGGGAGGCAGTTAGACAGACGTGAGCAGAGCAAGGACGATGGGCCAGGAGCAGAAGGTCAGCAGGGTGGGAAGCCCAGGTGCCTAGCAACGGACAGTTGTAGGGTGGAACCTGCCCCCAGGGTGACCTCTCCTCCCCTAGCACATTGCTGGTCATTACATTTCGACCGCCTGACCTTTCCTCCCTAGAGATAACATCGAGGCCTCAGTTGTTTTTCAGCTCCAGGCCCAGAAAAGTAGCAAAACCAGGTAAGCCACACCATGGATGCTCTCAGAACCAGCTGCATTGAATAAAGACCCCCTGCCCTGGTGCCAACACTCTTCCCCCCACCTCCACCTGCTGCCCCCTCCCCCCAGGTGCATCACCTTCACCTTCCTCACTTCTAAGCTCCAAGGGCCCTTCCTTTGCCTCTATAACTTATTCACTAAGCCCATTTCTTCTACCAATTACTTCTTCTACCCCTGTGATCTTCTAAGTAAACGTTCTCTTATAGCTTAAGTCTTGGCTCTGAATTCTTTCCCAGCCAGAACCCAAGTACCGAGGTTGCTGAACCCAGGTCTGGTCTGACCCGTCTGGTCTAACACCTGGTGCCGTTCTCAACGCCCCCAACTTAATGCGCCCAGCACAGTCCACACATAGCGAGTGCTGGGAAGCTGCCCCTGGCCTGCCTGCTTTTGTCCCTGGGAGCTAAGTGAGATGTAAATGACAGAAGTCCTCCCTGCAAGTGGCCGCCTGCTGGTGGAGAGGTGTAGGGCTTGCTCTCCAGATGCCCTGCCCCATTCCTCCTGGTGCTGACGGACAGGTGTTGGCTGCCCTGCCCCGTTTCCAAGAAAGGCCGGCCTGTCTTCCCTCTCAGCCAGTCCCCCGACCTGGACACTCATCTGGCAGGAGGCAGCTTGGCCATTTCTCTTCCCGACTTTAGTGAAGGGTGCAGCGAGGTTATGTTGAGGTAGCCAGTCAGCTTTGGAAGAGAAAATTCATATCCAGTGAAGGAATCCAACCCCTTGCAAGTAGAAGGAGATTGAGCAAGAATATCCCTATTGGACAGAGGAGGACACACTGCAGAGTCACTTGCTCAACCTCTTAATGCTCATTAGCCACCACGTCGGGCCCGGAAGCCACATCCCCAGTTCTACAAATCTTGCCACGCGAGAAGTTGACTTTACAATGATGGTCATTGGCCAACAGGAGAGAGCATCGTTTCTTCATTATTCGTTGCAGCTTCCTTGTGTAAGCTTTCTCCTGTGGTCTAATTGGATGTTACTGTTACGAGCAGGTAAAAGCTGAGCTTTCCTGCTCTATAAGAAGCAAGTCTTCCCTTCAGTCCAGTGCAGACATGGGCACACCTTGGCCAGAGCGTACAGCTTTGTCTCTTCCTGCTGCCGGCTCAGACAGGCAGTGTCTACTCTTCAGCAGCATCGGCCTTAGACGTGGGCAAATGGGGACCCTGCTCTGGACCGTGGGCTTCACAGAGCCCTGTGGGACTCTCCCCTAGCCGAACCCCTCCTAAGGGACAGGAAGTCTGTGGAATCAAGGGGTCCTGTCCACCCAGCCCCTATCTCCCACCTCCCCACTTCTAGCCCACAGTCCGAGTACCTGGCACCTTGAAATTTCTTGCTCAAATCACCCCAGCTTGCTAGTTGGACCTTTCTGGGCTTCTTTCCTGAGTCCATCCTGCTGAGTAGACCTAGGCCAAGGACATCATGGGTGGAAATTCATCAGGCTGGCCGAGGTGTCCAGACCTGTGCATTCAGAGTTCTTCTCAGTGCAGAATGGAGCTAGGAGTGGGAGGAGGAGGGCGCAGGCCATGGGCTGGGCACAGAACCCCAAAGAGCCTGAAATTCAAAATTCAGATCTGGCCTTGCAGATTGTTATGATGGTCTATTTTCAAGGTAGGAAGATAGTACATATTTTATTTAACAGTCTGTCAATTTAATTTATCACTTTTACTATTCAGACATAT